TGGAGGAGAAGAATTGTTGAATAAAGTTGTTATTTTTGTTTTCTTTGTGCACAAAATGTATTCTCGTAGCTTTGTAAAATTACGGTTGAACCACTGATGTCACATGGACCATTTTAACAATGTTCTTACTATCTGTAATGCCAGGCCAGCAGAGGGAGCCCTCGCCCGAGTATTGACTGTCACGCTCCCTCTGCTGCCTCGTTGGTGACTTCCTGTTTGGCAGCCATAAAGCATGGCTTGCCCAAACACTCTCTGTGGAGTATTGCCAGTCTCACTGCCTTACCAAGCATTCTATTACCATTGATATTGTGTATGACTTCTTGCCTGTTTGATTCTACTTCTGATTATTGGATTTTCCCTCTGTTTTGGCTGCCGATTGGACTGATTGACTGTGTTTAGACTACTGCCTTTTTCTGACACTGATTCTGGATTGCCCTCTAAATAAACTTCTGCATATGGATTCTCACTCGGCTTCAGCCTCCTCGTTACAGAATACTTCGCCACCCACGAAACCAGCAGAAGTTTCGGAGCTACAAGCGGCGTTCACCTATCAAAGCGAGGTACTCAAAGGCTACCAAAACAACTTGAAAGCCTGCAGTCCGCCAATGAATACTTGACACATTATATTCGTTCACTTCCTCCACATTGGAGATGGCATAACGGAACAAACTCACCCCATTCAACTCCAAGTCGGCCTGTTCCATCAAGAGGCTATCTCATTTTATGTAATCGACTCTCCAAGAAATGAAATCATCCTAGGCTTTCCTTGGCTATCAGTTCATGACCCAGTTATTTCCTGGCATCATGATGAGTTAGCCCGCTGGTCAAATTTTTGCTTAACCCATTGTATGCACTCTGACATTTCGCCTCAGTGCCTGTCTACCAGTGTTGAAAGCCCTGTCATCGAACAAACCACTAAAGTCCCAGACTGTTACAACGACTATGCTCAGGTATTTAGCAAGGTGAAGGCCACCCAATTACCACCTCACCGTCCCTGGGATTGTGCTATCGATCTCCTTTCCAATGCCATGCCACCCAAAAGTAAAGTGTACCCGTTAACCCATGACGAAACCCAAGCTATGGAGAGTTACATTGAAGAAGCCTTAAACAATGGATTTATCCGCCCTTCAACGTCTCCAGCCACTGCAGGTTTCTTCTTTGTAGACAAAAAGGATGGTGGACTTCGTCCTTGTATTGACTATAGAGGTTTGAATAATGTAACAGTCAAGTTCCGCTACCCACTCCCTCTGATTCCAGCAGCCCTTGAACAACTCAGAGAGGCAAAGATTTTTACTAAATTGGATTTAAGAAGTGCATACAACCTGATCCGGATCCGCGAAGGGGATGAGTGGAAGACAGCCTTTCTCACCACTAGGGGGCACTACGAGTACCTCGTTATGTCATATGGGCTAGCCAGTGCTCCAGCTGTGTTCCAGTCATTCATTAATGAGATACTTCATGATCTGTTAAATCAATATGTGATAGCTTATATCGAAGACATCTTAATCTATTCCGAGTCAGAAGCAGAACACATCCAACACGTCAAGATGGTTCTTTCACGTCTCCTCGAGAATCAACTCTTTGTCAAGGCAGAGAAATGTGAGTTCCACGTTTCACAAACAACATTTCTGGGGTATAACATCAGCCATCAAGGGGTAGAAATGGACGAATCCAAAGTCAAGGCAGTCAGCGAATGGCCACAACCAACTACCATCAAGGAACTGCAGAGGTTCTTAGGATTTGCAACTTTTACAGACGCTTCATCCGTGGCTACAGCTCCATTGCCTCCCTGCTGACTTCTCTCCTCAAAGGTAAACCGTCCAAACTGAAGTGGACAGAAGATGCAGCCAAGGCCTTCAATACCCTCAAGGTTAGCTTCACAACAGCACCCATATTACGACATCCAGACCCTATTCTCCCCTTTGTGGTCGAAGTGGACGCATCTGACAGTGGCATTGGAGCTATACTCTCCCAGCGTCACGGACAACCTGGTAAATTATACACACACAATCAACCTGCTACAGAATTCTTTCTGGTGGCCTTCAATGAGTAGAGATGTTACCGCTTACGTCAAGACATGTCAAGTTTGTGCCCAATCAAAGACCCCCAAAGAACTGCCCTCCGGCCTGTTACAACCATTACCCTTTCCACAACGCCCCTGGACACATCTATCTATTGACTTCCTCACTGACCTACCTCCCTCTGATGGATTCACTACCATTCTGGTGATCATCGACCGGTTCTCTAAATCATGCCGACTACTACCCCTCAAGGGTCTCCCTACAGCCATGGAAACGGCACAGTCTCTTTTCCACCATGTCTTCAGAATCTATGGTCTGCCTGAGGACATAGTTTCTGACAGAGGAACTCAATTCACTTCACGAGTCTGGAAAGCTTTCTGTAAGCAGCTTGACATAAACGTAAGCCTCACCTCAGGCTACCACCCTCAGTCTAATGGACAAGTTGAACGACTCAACCAGGAAATTGGAAGATATTTGCACAGTTATTGTAGCCGAGAACAACATCGGTGGGCAGAATTCCTTCCATGGGCCGAATATGCTCAAAATTCCCTGACACATTCTTCTACAGGACTAACCCCCTTCCAGTGTGTTCTGGGATATCAGCCTCCTCTGTTCCCGTGGTCAGGAGAACCTTCATCTGTCCCAGCAGTGGACGACTGGATCAGGCGTAGTGAGAGGGTGTGGGACAGTGCTCACATCCATCTACAAAGGGCTGTCAGGACACAAGGTTTCCAGGCCAACCGACGACACCGTCCGCACCCTCCCTACCAATCAGGACAATGGGTCTGGCTCGCCACGAGGGACCTCAAGCTACGGCTACCTAGCAGGAAGCTAAGCCCCAGGTATGTTGGCCCTTTCAAGATCATTAGACAAATCAATGAAGTCACTTACCAACTTGATCTTTTCATGTGTCTCTCCTTAAACCCTTCCACCCGGACGCTGACCCCAACGCCGAGCATCAAGAGCCATCGCCACCTTTGGAAATCGACGGATCGCCTGCTTATAAGGTCAATATGTTGCTGGACTCTAGGCGTAGAGGGGGTCAGCTCCAATATCTGGTGGATTGGGAGGGCTACGGGCCTGAGGAGAGATCTTGGGTCAATGCACCTGACATTCTGGATCCATCACTCATCGAGGAATTCCACACAGCCAGACCCGACCGACCAGCTCCACGACCACGGGGACGTCCTCGTCGAGCGCCAGGAGTCGCTCCTAGAGGGGGGGGTTCTGTAATGCCAGGCCAGCAGAGGGAGCCCTCGCCCGAGTATTGACTGTCACGCTCCCTCTGCTGCCTCGTTGGTGACTTCCTGTTTGGCAGCCATAAAGCATGGCTTGCCCAAACACTCTCTGCGAAGTATTGCCAGTCTCACTGCCTTACCGAGCATTCTATTACCATTGCCTGTTGATATTGTGTATGACTTCTTGCCTGTTTGAATCTACTTCTGATTATTGGATTTTCCCTCTGTTTTGGCTGCCGATTGGACTGATTGACTGTGTTTAGACTACTGCCTTTCTGACGCTGTTTCTGGATTGCCCTTTAAATAAACTTCTGCGTATAGATTCTCACTCGGCTTCAGCCTCCTCGTTACACTACCTTTCTGGGCCTTGAACATTTCAGTTGCGTTGCTGTCTATGGAGGATCAGAAAGCTCTCAGATCTCATAAAAAATATCTTAATTTGTGTTCCGAAGATGAACGAAGGTCTTATGGGGTTGGAATGACATGAGGGTGAGTAATTAATTACATAATTTTCATTTTGGGATGAACTATCCCTTTAACTTGTCTAAAATTTAATGTTTTTTTCAGTATTTTTTTCTTTCATGTGTGCTTTGGTGTGCATAAATTTATCAATTATATGGACTCCTTATATAATCTGGTTCTTGTACTTTTGGAGTCTCCAAGTGTCCTTTTTCGGAAGGACATCTAAATTTATCTTGAAAAAAGCTTACAGAAAATACAGATTTGTGAGAATCATCCTTCAGTCTTTTGGTTTACTTTGCTGGATATAGCAATTGACAAAATTAATTAACGTGTTAAACAAGATAAATGGTGTATGCTTAATTTCATGAAGTGTGTGATTAATCGCAATTAATCACAGAAAAAGGGCGTGATTAATCCGATTAAAATTTTTAATCTATTGACAGCCCTTTTGGTTACATGGACTTTAAATGGAGGGACAAAAACTGCTCAAGTTTTACTAAAAAATATACTAATTTATGTTTTAAAGATTAACCAAAGTCTTGTTGGTTTGGAATGACATGATGGTGAGTAAATGATGACAGAGTTTTAATTTTTGGCTGAACTATCTCTTTAAGTATGTAGCATTGCTTGTTTCAGTTAGTCACACCCCTAAACTGCAACCTTAATGTCTGTTGGCATATTCTGTTTGTGTTTTTGATGCAGTGGTTAAAAAAAAAAAAGAAAACACAACAACCTGAGCAGCAGGAGTCTTGAGCGAGAAGATTCACTACATTCAGCAGAATGGATATCACCCCTGAGCCCCCTTCACCCTCAGGGTGTGGGGGTTTCGCCTCTGACATCTAAGCACTTGAAGTGTGAGGACAAGCTACCTATTTAGAGGCAGGTGATCTAGAGAACAAAGGGAGGATTCATGGCCCCGCTCACACGCTGGGAGAGAAACAAGTAGTTATTAGCTCCCGATGGGACTTGACAGACTATTTAAAGTCTGTTTCCTTTGATTGTGACAGTGTAATTGTTCCGGCAGATACCATCAACTCACTAAGTTACCTTAAGGCAAGGGAAACTGGACTTTCATTAAAGCGTGGGACAGGAGAGCTGGTTTTCTCTGCCTGTGGTTTCTAATGGGATGTGGATGAGTGAGCTTCTTACGCCAGTGGTGTGAATTGGTTTCTTTAATGATTAATAGGGGCCATGTTAACACGAAGGCAACTAGTAGGGACTCCTGTTGAAAGTGCGGTGTGACTGATTGGCCTGTCGTTTCATTATTCAAAGTAAGGACGATCTGCTGACGGTTCAGTGGTCTGAAAATGATGAACTTCAAAACAACACCACAAACTAAATGTTTAAAGTAACACTGACTTGCAGACACACGCATGTCCTTAGCTAGATGGAGCTGGATTATCTATAACAATAGCTAGGAAATTAACCGTATCAAAACAGCAGAATCCTTCAAGACTCCATCAGTACTCCACTTTCTGAACCAAATCTTCAATGATCTCAGTCCTGCTAATAGCACAGTCGACATCAAACACAACTTCAGAACGTGTTTCAGAAGCCCGGACAAGAAATCCACATTTAAGCTCTTCACAGAAGCAGAATCGTAATAGCATCTCTGATCCCAGAGCGCAACAAAAAGAAACGGAAAACGTCTAAAACCCAGTTTCCCCCGGTCTGACAGTTCATGTCTTTTAAGAGGCAGATTGTAAAAGAAATAAATAGAGCCGGGGATAAGAGCATGTTTCACCTCAGTGCTCTCACCCTCCCTACCATCTCAGTCGTGGCAGAAAAGCAACAAGAGTGTTTGTTTTTGATTGTGGGGGTTGAGATGACACAGTCTGTTGGGCACTCTATTGGCCATGTCGCTAGGGTCCATTGACCATGCTGGCTCTCGAAAGCCTTCTGTGATTATACAATAAACTATACTACGGGACATGACATCTCCACCATTCTAAACGCTCAGATGCCATTGGCCAAAAGACTGCACTTTACCGAGAGCCCCAGGACGGCTAAGTCTGATACAAACCAGAGATGGAAATGTAACCAATTATTAAAGCAGATTGCAGTCAAGGTATTTCGAGTAATATCTTCACTAAAGGGCAAACTGGTGCGTAATTTATTAAGGCAAGCCATTTTGCCTGGATCTAATCGCAGATTAAATAACAAACATTGGCCTCAGACAGTGTAGATCATAGTAGTGTAACATTATTGAACTTTTAACATTTCTTTTAAATCCACCAGAGGATGTTTATATGCTTTGGCATTTTTATGGCTTACGCTGAAGAAATGTAATTTTGCAAAAGCTCGTGCTGGCCCACTGCTTTTGCAATTTAGAAGAAATATTGCACAAATCATTGGTACTTGTACATTTTTTTCCCCTCCAAGGATTTTTGTTTTTAAGGAATGTGTTACAAAAAATGGAAATAAACAGAATGTGCAATCACGAACTGCAGTGTGCTGACAGGCAGAAATGTGGAGACTTGCAGCTGAAAATTTACACGGTGATTCTCCTGACATCTCTGTGTGGGTTGTTTACTCCAACCATCCGGGCCTGGTGTGAAGAGTTTTCTTCTTTGAAAAACAAATTATTATTAAACTGTTTACATCACTCATGCGTTTACATTAGCATATAACACAATCTCATTTTTTTTTTACCTGCTGCTTTTGTGTTATCTTCGTCAGTTTAAATGAGGTATGTTTGTTGTGAAAATGCAAATATATAATATGGGTTTAGCTTGTGAAACAAACCTATATCCCAGAAGGGAAAAAAAGCCTGAAATTTTCTCTGAAAAACACCTAGGCCATTTCTACTATGCAGAACATTACATATGTCCAGATACTGTATGTCTTAATATATTACATAAAATATTAAACTAACAATTTTAGAGATGGAAATCATGCTGGTTAGTTAGTACACTCTTAAAAATAAAGGTGCTTCAAAAGGTTCTTCAAGCGATGCCACAGAAGAACCATTTTTGGTTCCACAAAGAACCATTCAGTCAAAGGTTCTTTAAAGAACCATCTCTTTCTTACCTTTTTGTAATCTGAAGAACCTTCTTTCGCCACAAAGAACCTTTTGTGAAACAGAAAGGTTCTTTAGATGTTAAAGGTTCTTTATGGAACCATTTAGACAAAAAGGTTCTTCTATGGCATCGTGAAGCACCTTTATTTTTAAGAGTGTAATCCCAATAGCACAATTAAGGGAATATAGTGGTGAATTTCAAATAATTTCACTCCCGTGGATTGAGTAGTTGTTGTCACATTTGCCACTTCTCCAGGTACTGCATCTTTACATCTAAAAGAAAAAAATAAGCAATATTAGGTGCTTAATCTCCCCCCCCCCCA